GGCGAAGATTAGCAATTCTCAGCAGGCAGTAACGAGGGAACCTTTGCGAAAGAATTATACAAGAGCTTCAATCCGTGGTAATTGCTTACACAAACCGAATAAGATTTATGTTCGTCCTTGCCTCTTTGCGGAGCTGACTTTATCTATTGCAATTATATAACATAGAATTTCTATATTTTCAAAAAAAGTTTATTTCCTCCAAAGATTGTCACCGTCCACGATTACCCTTTGACTATGTGACGGTGAACTGGGTTCAGGAGAACATGTTTACTTCCCGGTGCATACAGATTATTTTATGAATATCTGGACCCACGCAAGTGACAAGTAGTTGACAAAGTGTAAGAAATAAGAATAAATGTCGTTATAATAATGAAAAAGACATGTTGCCATATGAGTTTTACAGGACAGAAACATTAACTAGGAAAAGCGGCGACATTGCGCGAGGTGCTGTATGATATAGTCTCGATTATTTGAAGGTTCACAAAATGCTTTCAATTTAATTGTTCGTGAACTTATCTTACCACCTGTCATGAAAAAACTGCCAAAAATGGTTACTTCTGGAGCCCTGACAGACATATCACTATGTAGACAATTCTTCTAATAACATAAGTTGATAGGAGAGTTATCCTAATGTAATTTACGGACCGTTCATAGCTAATTTTCTTTGTTAAGAAGTGCCATACTTAACAGCTCAATAACTTCACAGCAGCTACTAAATCTCCATGTCACTCGGAACTTTGTAACGTTCGAATCGCTACTGAGAACCGACATTTTTTAAATTAATAGGTTACGATTCACTGTGTCACCTGTACAATGAGTATTGAAATAAACGCAGTGGACTGCATTATGATGCTTCTCACTGCGGCCTGATTTCGTGTAGACTTCTACTAGTTGAATGTACCTTGATTTCCTTCTGTTAAATCCTGTCCTGGGAGGGGGGGGGGGATTGAAGGCGCAGGCCAGTGCGGAGAGGTGGATATATGATTTACAAGAATATCTTCCATAACATTTCAAAATATAGACTTCTTCGCAATAGAACAACAATTCTCGGCAATGGAACGCAGTCTGTTTTTTGTAAACTACAGTGTTCTCTCGAAGGGCTGAGGATATGAGGTGGACACGAAACAATTGCACGCCGCCATTGTTTGGAAACATTATGTAGGGCATATTCGCGGAGATTAAATAACTTAGTAGAGGGGATGAACGGTAGCGTGTATGGAACTATTCCTAAAGGCGCACCCACACTGTCAAAATCAATTTCGCAATAATTGATAGCATTACATATGCTTAACTTGGATGACTATTATTCAGTGAAAATTAATGTTTGTGAACTTGAATTGATTCGCAGGTTTCAGCCCGCACCCTCTTTTTTTTTTTGTTAATTAATTTGGCTAGTCCGATCCGTTAATTTTATCTTATTATTAGAGTCAATTATTAATATAGGAATTATCCTGTTTCAAACAACCTGTCTACCTAGTCATCAACCCACCCTAATATAAATAAATTTTAACCGCGTCACATCTAGCCTAACATAAAGTTTGATGACTTACAATTATTCGGTGGCAATTCCTGAACCCCATTATCCCTCCGCAGTAATTTCCCCTTTAGAGAGTCTCCTCGTCTTATTGAAGTATGAAACCTCACTTGTACTGCAAGCTTTCCATTCGCTATGGTATTTTAAGTAAATACGTTCTCGAACGTGGAACACTGCCTTTTTTTATAATGTATTTGTAATAAACTAAGCCGCTAAATTCGCACTCGAAGTATGATCGTTTTACAATAATTCACGATATTGTGAGGTGTAGGGTGAGTGAGGGACAGCTTCCCAGAATTCAGTGAATATGTGCCTAACGAACATGCCATCACCAATTTGGTTCAAGTCCTTTTAGATGCAATGGCGTTTTACTAAATCGCATAACGATTGAAGTGCATGTGTATTAATGCATGTCATTAAAACGCTTATCCTACAAATAAAGTTTATCATTTTATGATGTAATGCTATAGATCGCTAGAAACAACACGCGACGGGAACACTTTAAAGCAGGAAACAGAAGAATCTTTGAAGAACAATAGCAGCCCCGCTAGGTACAGATATGAACTTGAGTGCAAACGGCTACTAGCTTAGTAACTTATTTTAGCCATTTATAGGGGGCAGAGGCTACCGTTCGAGGTACTTATCTTCGTAACTACATTTTTACGCTTAGTCTTTCGTGAGCGATTTAGCTTTCCTTCGGTAACTGCATCTTTCCCTTGAGGCATCGAGCACAAAAGCTTTCGCGATATCCTGAGCAACGGCGACAGTAGTAAACTTTCCATTGTTTGTATCTTGTGGTTGTATTGGTAAGCTATACAAGCCGCCGCCGCCGCCGCCGCTGCTGTTAATGCATAAGGTCTAGGGCAGCTGTAGCGGACTACTTATCACGTGTCTTATAGCGATGGCAATGGTCGTCTTTTCGAGGTGGAACAAATTGGGAGCGGTCGCAGATGATGATACAAACGATGATGATGAAATGACACCTTCACCGAACGCAGCGGCAGCCGCTACGGAGTCCAACTATCTTCCGATGGCGGCGCTAGCAGACAACTGCGACTTCCACTGTCGCCCTTGTACTACACTACCACTATCACTGTCGAATCCGTACGAGCGGGTAGATGATCTCGCCTTTTGATGACGGTGTCATTTATACTCCTATATGAAGTGAGATAGATGTCCATCATCTTGCATCTTGTCACGCTAGTCAGCAAAACCAAGCTGAGCAGAGTAGGGTGACAACGAGATGGTGTTCGGTTTCGTCCAGATCATAATGGCCACCCCCCTCCGGTATCTATCTCTATCTAGTATCATCGCCATCAAGATCAGCGCCAGCATCATCATGATCATTAGCAGCAGTAGCAACATCAACACCATTGTGTGTATGTGAAGTGTCAGAGTTTTTAACATTTTAGAGTTTGAAACTGAGCGAAGAGATGAGACGAGATCAGACCAGTCAGAGAAATCTGGTCGCCGCATCGCCGTTTCTCTCCTTCGCCTTGAAGCCAACAGGAGGAAAGAAAGGAGACTGGTAGCGCGAACAAGAGCCGCAATGACATCAGCTCTACTTGAATTGGCAGAGGAGTGAGTGTCGAGACAAGAAGCATAGTCGAGTCGAGAGGGGTCTTCACACGGCCGGCCGGCCGGCCGTTCAGGCACCCCTCTCCCGCCTGCATAGTTGACAGACTCGTCGAACAGGCCTCGCTAGATGGTCACATAGGAGATGTGCGTACGCGGCCAGCTTAGAGTGCTCTTCATCGATGGTGCTTTACCCCTACTGTAGAGGATTGATTTCAGTGATATCTGCCGGGCTAGTAGTCGCCTAAATCTATCCAGAAGCGCGACTAGAGTACGAGAAGATGATCATGGCGTGCGGGTCAGGTCAGTCGAGAAGAAGATAAAGATGTCAAGTAGACGGACGAACAGCAGCGAAGCGTAGAAGTAGCACTGGATAAGGACAATAGTCAAACTCCCGTGAAATATCCGGTTGTTCGGTTTCATATCTGCTCTTCTCTAAACGGAATCGGTTCTAATCTTGTTGGAATTTTAGACATAGTGACAAAACAGCGGGTTTACATTGTTAAAAGCTCCCCCTTACATGTAATGATACCACATTTACCACTGTTACGAAACGCAGACATAACAGCAGCGGTAACGGATGCTTCTCATCGTTGCCATCGTACGTCGTGCAGAGTATTCTAGTATTGACGTATGGAGTGCGGGTTTGTCGGGGAAAAATACAAGTGTATACGTACCATCACATATTTTACATAAAATATCAGACTTGCTATCAATGAGCTAATGTTCTAGAAAATTGCTTGAATTCGTATGAAGAAATTACTACTAAATTTATTATATATACTTATTTGGAACGCTTACCTGGTATAACATATTTTGGCAAGAAATGATTAATTAAATAACTTCAGTTCATTTGTATATTACGTTCCAAACAAATCGCTTTGTTTGCAGTGTATAGCTTAGATTGAGAATATTTAAAAACTTGATCTCAGTCTTCAAGGGAATGTAAGAACATATTTTCTAGTAAGTTTCAGGATCGCCGATGTTTATCCTACTGCTAAAAGTTGACATTTATAATCTGGCAGACATAACTTTGGGGAATACGTGACTATATGGAAAATGCGGCTTCGATGGGGACACTGAGAAGACGCTCGTGTCGGTTCTGCCAGTCGGGCCGGCCAGTTACTTCAGCAAGCTCTAGCTGTGGACGGTAGTAACAAAATATAGTTTTTGAAATAGTGACTGTTAACCATAAGTTACACTTCATTCCGGCACAAAAAGTGATAGGTCTTTTTATCGATTAGTATTAGCCGATGAGGGATGCTTCAATTGAAGGGACTCCCACCAATAGAAGATCGTAAAAGCCTAAAATAATCAGGTTAAAATTTGGCTTTGAAAAACTTGCCAGATTGGGCTATCGCAGTGGCAAAGACACATGCCTGCTTAAATTAATGAAATGATGATCCATTTAGGTAGGCTCGCACAGGAACACCGAAAGATATTTAATCAATCGAACCCTGTTTGGATTACTGGTCAGACTCTAGCAAGATACTCGACCGTTTCAGAAAACTCTTGCCTCATTACTTTTTATTGTCTCGCCATTCCAGTAGCCCCATTAATCATTGACTGACACTAAATGGGAAAGCAGGCTTAATAAGGAAAGGTTTTAAGCAATTTCTTTTTAAGCCTCCAAAAATCAAACGTATTAAGTTAAAATGACTTACTGTTTATGTCTATATTTTCCACACAATCGTAGATTTTTCGAAATGATGTTTCTGAGCCAAAACAGTATTATTCTTGACTACAGAGGGTGTTAACAGTCTTCCTTTAACACTGTGCAATTTTTCGGCTGGATTTCGCTAGAGATCATTTGAAAGTGATTACTAGTAGTAATGATAAATTGCGCTCTTAGCTTTTTATATGTTAATAAAATCTTGGAATTTACACGTACCTGCCAGGATGCAGCGGCGGCGCTGCAAGAATCGAGGGCGAGGAAAGACATCGTTGATTCCCGATACGATAACTGAATAATCACTGGACGATATAGATTGGCCTCCTGGATCCCACACAAGCACGCCACAAGGCTTTCGGCAAACACACAAGACACGAGACAAAACGCGCTATTGGATGCAAGCTTTCCTTTGTAATATTGCGCGTTGTCGTCCAGCACTACTAAGACAATAACATATTGCCAACGGTATGCACGTGATTTTCGGCACACCTGCCAGGCGTCGTTAGTATGGGACACTAAACAAAACCATATACAATAAGGTCACCGGGCTATCGGCGATGCCTGCTATCCGCCCCGGGCCAACTTCAGCCGTTTCAGCAGCTTTACTCAGCTGCTCCGACTGACGACACATGCAGTAGCCAACCCGGAAACCGGGGCTTAGGCTCAGGGCGCGGCCTCTATCATGGCGGCGGACTCCAAATCAAACATCCGTCGGCACGCTCTTCAGGCAGCGGACAGGCAGTCAGGCATAGGTCTGTGTGTCCGATAGCCCTGGCACACCCTCGTCCTTTGGCCGCGCAAGCCGTTTGGCCGCTTCCAGTTGCTTTTGCTGGAACTAGCGTTGCTCTAGCTGCAGCAGCTACACCTTCACTAAACCGGCTGTTTCCATTAGATTCAAATCCATCTCACTATTTTCTTCACACATGCGCACATTTCTACTGCTAGATCATACAGTCGTGGCTCACTGCATCTAGCCTGTTCGTGTCCTTGTCAAACACCATGGGTAGTTTTTGTGACGTCCCTCTACTCGTGTCCCTCGTAATCGTACTCCAGTTTGTTGTTCTTGTGCAAATCTAAAACAACTATCTTTAGTGCTCGTAATCAAGCCTGTTAGAGTAATGGGAAACACCTAAGGCTGCTCCTGAGCGACCTGTGGTAGTCAATGAACACTGACGAAACCGCCTGAAGCTGGTGCCTAAAGAATCCGCTGCCGCCTCAAGCTTGAGATCTGCTGCTGCCGTGCGGCGGACGTAACGTCAACTAGAGTTAGCCTCACTGACTGCCATATAGGAGCTTGCTGGATCTGGGCGCCGCCGGAGTACGCTGCTAGGGAAAAGTGCTGGGGCCAACAGCAGATGGCTTGCTGGGGGCCACATCCACGGCGGCCTGCTGCTGCTGCTGCTGCGGTAGCGGCGGCTGCCGTTAGGCGCTAAGAGGATGACTGGGCGCCCAGCGGGGCAGGGGCACAGGCGGAGCCTGCGAACAACAAGCTCCTCCCACTCGCTGCACACAGCTCCCTCTGTCCCCAGAAAAACCCCTTTGAAAAGCAGCTTTCGGAACGGTACAGAGGCGCCCCCTTCGCCTTTCCACCTACTACACTACCCGCCATCTCCACAAGGATAAGGCTCCCAAGCTTCCTTCATGTCTCCCCCTTAGATAGCGCTGCCGCCGAGAACCCCTCCTTTTCCCAACAGAATCCCATAATGCCCCCTGACGGCTCCATCTCATCTCTTGCCCATTCGCCAGCGCCATCACTACCCCTTGCCAAGCTCTTTTAGCATCTCCTTCAACCCTCGATACTGTCCCCCCAGCCAGCCTAGTCGGTTTATCTGGGTCGACTAAAGATGGAGCAGAACGATGATGGTGTGGGCAGACCATCGGACGAGGGATGAGAAGAGAGGTGGTATTTGGTTTTGAGTCGGGAGCCCAAACCGAAGGTAGTGGGAAACTGACGGGAAGCTTCGAGGGAGAGCCAACGACAGGGTTACTGGGGTTGAAACAGGGCGAATTGCTGTCAAACAAGCTTAAATTTGTCGCCATTTTTTTCAGGATGGTGGCACCAGTAACGGCCGGACAACGGTTGTCATGTCCATGGTGACCACAGAGAGTCACGGTCTTTTCTTTGTAGTCTTTTAAGACTGGCATTTTCAATGTTCCAAGAAAATCAGGACAGGAGTAAGGAAGTAGCCCAGTGGTGTGCAAAAACTTACATTGGGACGTATTCGATAAATTCTGCTCCGTATTAGGTTCTTTTGGTTGGATTAAAGACAACTTGATCATGATTGTCTTGCTTCATGATTGATTTGTATCTTCAAGTAATCATCGTATGTTCTGTAAGCATTTTTTTGCCTATATTTTCCTACGTTGGTACTTAGTAGACCTGGTGCCCCGAAGAGGAGTTCTTTTGTTGAAACTTTTGTGTCTGATCGAACCGATGATGGGCCGTTGTTTGACAGGAAGTTGTCGCCTCTGATACCACTGATAAATTTACATTGAAAACCGTTCGAGAAAACGGTCGAATCTTTAGCAAACTTTAACGCACTTGTTGTCCTTGCGGGCTGTTATCTATGCACTGGTGCTTGGTGTCGTCCGTACATGCCAAGCGTGTTTGTTCGTTTATTTTTCTTTACATCGGCATCATTATCTTTACGCCTCGGCACGTTTTAGGCCCTTTCAACGTGAGTCCGCGTCATTCACCCACATGGCACCTTATTTTCCTTCTAAGCAAATATGTTCAGTTTGTAAGGTTTGCTGTGCCTGTCTAGGTAGTTTCTATTTTACTATGTAGCCAACTTAAACTATCCTTTGAAATACGTTTGCTGTTTTTTTTTTTGTAATACATATGTGCGTTTCTGATCTTTTCTAAAATAAGGCCTGAAATCTTTCGATGCAAATACCCTTGCCATCGAACAGGACACAGTACGACTCAAGTTATAGGAGCAGTCCGTTCTCATTTCGTGTTCTAACAATGGTCGTCTCAGTAATTCAAAGACGCGATAATATTTTACATAAGCGGGCGTGTGTAATACTAGGTTAATAAACAGAGAAACGTTTAAAAAGTAGAATTTGAGTTTGAAATCTTAGCAAACAAATAGATTAACTGCGTATTCGTCGTCGCTTTTTACGATCTTCTCTATCCTATCTTAGTTAATACATTTATTTCAACAATTTTCTAGTGTGATATTGAAACATACGCCTGGTTAGCTTTAAAAGAGTCTTTATTTCAAGCGCCCTATTATGAATTTCGTCGGCTACTTTTCTGAAAAGACGGTGATCAGTCTGCATGAGGTTTGGATCATGATGTTTAACTGAAACAATCATTACCATGTGTATATTGGCATTGCGACAGAAAATAATGACCTTGCCCGTCTATCGGATGTATTCCATCGGACAATCTCGTTTACTCGATTTGTATCTACCGTTTTATTGTCGTAAAACGTTTTTTTAATGTATACGATTTTTCCAATTTTACCAAACGCAAATCTTGCTCTTTTACAGATGAAAGTATAGGTACATTTTGGGCGTAAACGTATTTTCTAAAACCATTTATTTCTTTTCTTGTTTCGTGTGCATAGGGCAACACTTTTTGTGATTCATAATAATTCATAAGTGGGTGCTATTCGCAAGATGTTAAGAGTAATAGGTAGTTCCCACACATGACACAAATATACTAAGCCATTTCGGTGCTTCTTCCGCAGAAGGCGAATCAAAGTTAGTGCCCTAAAATCACCTGAAACATTTTCACTTGAAGCCCGAACCCTAGATTGAAGTCCTTTTATCATGAAACGAACTTACAGGAGGAAAAGAGAGCGTTCTCGAATGGTATATAGAGGTAAACTTTTTACCTTATCTAGATTACTTCGAATAAAAACGACGTTTACTCCATATTTTCAACAGTCATGCTCCTAGAGCCACGTGCAATGCAATAATTATCGTTCAAAGTCTAACATCTCAAAAATGCGCAAAAGGGTGCACACTACTGACGACAATGCCAGCTCTAATTAGTGTGAACTGACCGAAACGACTCAACTAGCAGATACGAAGCTTATCGTTTAGTCTAGGTATTGACGACTGACCCTTGATGTTCAACAAAACCCACATATTTGTTACTTTCTATACCAAAATACCTTTCAACTATCGTTCCTTTTGCTTATATATTTATTTTTTTCACTTATGTACAAAATAAAGCGTATGTCCCTTGAGGATTTTAGATTTTAATATATATATATATATATATATTTTTTTTTTTTTTTAATATTGCTAAACTAAATATGCACTGTTTCGGTTGATGACCTTTTTGCATTTTATTGGTAACACCATAATCTCATCTCTATGAAACGTTTGTGGTTCTTGGACGAAAAATAGGTGATTTTTGCTTTCCTCCATTAAAACTGAATTAACACCGTTAAGGGAGTTCGGCAGAAACTGACACGGATAAATAGCCTGATGGTGTAAAATCCAGCTATATGCCTAATGCTGTAAGCTTCGTACCCATGTTTACCCAAGTTTTGTTCACTAATTCCGGTCGGTTTTTCGATTGACTGATTGTAATCTTTTTAATTGTTCCAAGAAAGTCCAAGTCAATCATTTTGCTGGCTGGCAACAGTTCACAATGCATAGTTCCCTTCCAAGTGTGACCTTCTTCAGTGTTGGTCAAGGTTTCGCCACGGACTGCTGAGTTTCACTTTGGCCATAATTTTTTTGCACATTACCGTCTTATGAGGTCTACTTTTAACCACTCGTAATCAACCGATTTAGAAGTAGCTCGATTTCGTAACGTTTTCTTAGAATTTCGTGGATGGAAATATGACCGAGAAAATTGTGTTCTGTCAGTTTGTGTGGCATGCAAATATTGAGCTTCTTTCTGTAGCCAGTTCTTTTTAAATGGTTTCAAACTGTTTGTCTTAACTACTCACGTATCGGTCCTACTCAACTTTCGTAATCATTTCCTCAACGTCTTTCATAATTGGTCGAGCATTACGAGAAGCGTCTTTCATATCAGAATTTTCAGAACGAAAACGACAGAACCATCTTGGGGCATTTCCTGCGATAACGGGTCTTGACTATAAATGGTGTAATTTTTTTATAAGCTTAGGCAACGTGTACGCCTTTATCGTAATGAAGTTGTAAAAGGTAACGATTTTTTTCGCGGAAATTCAACTTATCTTTAAAGCGCTCTACTTTGAATAAAGGTTAAAATTTTAGCATATCTATCACTATCAAATCTCAGTTTTTAAATGACACCAACGCTGACCTGACACGACCCATATCACCTGAGATATATGACTACAGAGAATCTAGCTAGGAAACACGTGATTACCTTTTCGACTACCCAATATATATGAACTGAATTATACTGGAAAAACACGGATAGGTTTTTGCAGGTGGTGGCTATCGTCATGTTGTCGTATTGGCATCTAAACGGGTCATGAAAAATGCCGTTGGCACCATATTCCTTCTTTATTGTAAATTCACATCAAAATGCCGATATAAGCTTACACAGTAGAACTGTTAAATATAAAGCAGAACTCGAAACATTTTAATACGCGATAAAATAATCTATCGATTGTTCAAGTGGTAATATAAGTCTTAAAAGCTAGAACTAAGCGTATCAACATCATGTTCTCTTTTCGAACCATCAAGATATTAAGCGTGCGGTAATCTTGACACTGGTCAAATTGCAACAATAATTTGCCACGAAAAATTTCAATTTTCTTTTGTTAAAGCGGTTAGTACGAGTGCGTTCGTTGGTGTTTTAACTGGAAAGAATTTCCAATAATAACGATACCTAATCATTTAAGAAATTGTACGTATATACAAAACCACTGTATACGCAAGCGGAATGGTTCACCCGCAATCGGACTTACCATTTCAACCAGAAACAACATCTTCCCCATACTTAGCAGAACATTTTTCTGTCCCATCCAAAACAAACTCGGACCGGATCTGTGCCCCACTATTGCACCAAACAGAGGGCCTGAATAATCGTACGGTATTTTGCCAGCGGAAGATGACAACAGGGCGCGACGGTCTCTAGGGGTCGTTGAAGCAGGTCGATGACGACGACGCCGCCGACAACGATCGCTGCTCGTTTGCGATGCAATCCCTTGGGCAAATTTCGATGACAAAAGAGGGATGCGTGAAACCGGTCGTCTCACGCGACTCTTAT